CCCCAAAACCCCAAAACCCCATGGATAAAAATAAATCAGGAAATAAATGTTAAATATATAATCTCAATAAACCGGATTAATATGAGCATTAATGTGCGTTTGCTCCAGTTTATTATCATGATCATAAATAATTGGAGTTACTGGGGTCTAATTAATCTATACTTTAACTTATGTTTTTTATCTGATATTATAACCCATATTGAACTCTTTCTCACTGTTGTAGACCACATCTGGTCTTCCAAGATATTTTCCTCCTGATTTTAATAATATCTCTCTAACAATCTACGTCTTATTCTGTTCAATATAATTAAGCGCGTTTTATTTCTAGATTTAATTGACGAAAGGTCTGTATCGTGTTGAAGGCATTTGATATGAGTTATTTATGTGAATTGATTCAGAGTCATTCGCAGACTAATTAGTAGAAGAATTCATCTGATTTCTTACCTCCATCATTGATTAAGGTCTACCTTTGGCAATTTACCCAAACTTTTAGAATTTTTGATTAACTTTTTTCTCTCTCGAAACTCCATCCTTAATAAAATGGTGCTCGTTTTTCAAAATTTCCTTGATATTTTTCTCATTGAATTATACACTCTTTCTAGTTTATTTCCCACTAAAGTTAAGAAGAGTTTAGGTGGGTGAAGTTTTTTAGGTGAAGTTCTGAGACTTGTAAAGATCTGATTTACGAGTTTATGAGAGTTATACATTTGAAAATTATTTGTCTGCAGCGAATATTTGAGTGAAATCACTCTAGGTTTTTGCTTTTTATTTCTTAGCTGTATTGCTTACTATCATTTGATTGGTAGGAAATTTCTAAGGCAAATGACCCTCTTACTACAATCTCATCCATTAATGAAGCCCAATAGATTAGCTATCAAGATACTCTTAAAGGCTTTGGTCTTTATTCAGATTAGTTTGTTATTTTATAGACTTTTCGGTAATTTAAGTTTTGAATTTTACTTTCTTATCGCTTTAGTATACAGAGGACAATTCATCGTTTTCTATTTTTTTGCTATTTACATTTAATACTACCTAGTATTATTTGCTCTGTGAGCTAAGTATCTATCTCTAATCATTCTAGTTATTCATCAGCATAGGTACACTATTTTCAGAGACTGTTTAAGTTGAATGCTTTTGATCATTTTCCATTGAACCTTATTTAAGATTGTCTTATTCTTTAACATAAAACACAGGTTCCTAATTTATGGTATGAGACATTTAACTTATTTCATGGAGGTTGTTGTGCGATTCTTGAATTTAGAGAAACTTCTTTGGGGACATATCAGTAGCTACATTTACTTTACTACTAATTTGCTTTTTATGATTAAAGTTTCTTCTTTATTTTTGACTGTTCAAATTTTCTAAGTTAGGCTAAGGATGGATTTAACAAGAAAAAAAAGGAGGTTAGACACTATCAAAACTTGCATTTTAGCCGTTATTAGGAGTTCTTTAAGCTAAACTGTGTTGCTAATGCAAAATATTGTTTTAATGAGCCATACTTAGTGTAGGAATTTGAATAATACTTGAATGAGTTGAGTTGTTTTAAGATTTTTGCTATATGTACTTATTTAATGCCCTATTTTATTGATATCTTGCTAATGATGTTTAAGGTCTTTAAAATGCTGGCTCTTTTGCATTTGATTTTCTTAGTTCGTTATAGTTACTATAATATTCATTTGAACTCACCTTCTGTCTCTTTTTATTTATAATTGCTTCGTTCAAAAGAGCCAATTTGTTTTCATATCCAAGCAAATGACTATTTTTTGGGACTTCATAATTCAACTATTATCTATTTGGAGTAATATTCTATGTTTTTTACTCAGATGGCATTATTTCATGAATCTTCAATTATTAGGCTTAATACTATGTCTAAAGCTTTCCATCAATCTGCGATATTTATACTTTAATCGGCTTTGCATAATCTATTTTTCTTAAGCTTTATAGCTCTATAGGTGTTTAGGATCTTTGATCAGCGGATACTTCCCCAGCTTTGAAAATTTTCTCCTATGTAGTTTAGTATTTTAATAGAATCACTTTTCTAGCTGAGCCAACTACTACAGAATTAGATTTAGTATTTCCAGAATTGTCTGTGAGCATTTATGCTTTAGATAGATCAATTTTCTGAAAATAATCCTAAGAGTTAAGCCCACTATTTAACCCTAAATTATTTTTCTTGCCTTTGTTTGTTCCAAATGACTTAACCATAAGCAAATCCCCTTGAGCTGATGACTTTCCTGTATTACCCTAATTCTTTTATTTTTTCTTCACTATTTTTCTCTTTTACTTAAGTATCTCATTTGAAATTGAAGAAATAACTTCATCATCTAGGTCATGGAGCATTGAGTTATTATCTATACCTTATCCTCCTTAATTTTAACTTTGATTTTGCATAGCACTGAATTCTCTAAGAAAATTATCTATCACATCCTTCTTTTATTATTTATTTTATTTTCTGAATGAATTCAATTTTCCTCCAGCAATTTATTTAATCTATTCTTTAGAGAATGGAAATTAGATTTCATTCATTTCTGCTATAGATATACTCTTCTTAGAATCTGACTTGTTACTTCTTTTTGAAGATGCTAGAGATCTGTTTTCTATACTAAGTTTTTTCCCTCTTTTTTATTTCAAAATCTCCTTCTTTGGATTTGGAGACCATTTTGAGAATACTTATATAGCATGCAATATCCTATCTCTTAAAATTTCTTAGTCTTAGTCATCTAAATTATCATCACCTGAACTGTCTGAGCCTTATGCATCTCCATCTGAACTATTACTTCCAATACTTGGATTAGAATCATCATCAGATTCTTCATGAATAATATCAGTCTAAATCATATTCAAAAGCTAATCAAGAGTTCTAATTTTGCCAGTTCTACCAGCGAAATCACTTGCAGAGAATCCTTTTAAATCAAATTTGGTTCTTTTTTATTTATGTTTCAAAAGCCCTTTTATATCATTAGGTTTTTCTACAGGTGATTAGTTTCCTTCCTCTTCTTCATCGGAATAAAATTTATCTTCATCATCATCATCTTAGCTATCAACTTCAGCTTCATTTTAAGTTTTAACTGTTAAATCAGGTAGCAATGGTTGCTAAAAATTATCATCAACTTTATCTAATTTATAATCAGCAAATTCCTCTTCTTCCTCACTACCAGATTCATTAAAATCACTATCATCACTCTCATCATCACTTAATTCATCATCATCTTTTTTAATCTCTATTAGCTTTTCCTCAGAAGCCTTTTTACCTTAATCACCTAAAATTTCCCTAATTGTTTTCCTTGTTTTCTTCTTTTACAATATCCTTTCCTTTATTTAAAACTTCGTCTATCTATCCTTCTCCATAATCATATCATATTCAAGCACACATTCTGCAAGACTCTTGCCGAATTCAATTAAATCAGATTCTCTAAACTGAACTGTATTTCTATCTTTTGTGATATATCCAAAACAAGAGCATTCTAATGTGAAGCAATTTACAATGTTAAATTCCTTCCCAATAGTTATTCTAGCGCAATTTTCCTTATATTTGTCAATACGAAATCTGGAACTAAAAAATCTAAAGAATTCAGATCTCTCTGACAAAAGCTTTGGTATGATTCTAATTTATAAATACTTATCATTATGCAAAGGGTAGTATGGTCCATAAATAAATATGCACTTTTTCTTAGAATGCTAATGTAAATCCATAAAAGCAACAATTTTATCTCTTTCTTCTCTAATCAAACTTGCAATTAAATCTTTGATTGCTATTGGAACTGGATTTAGCTTAGGATCTTAATCCTCATTATTCAAAAACTATCTGTTCATATCTACTCCCAATAAAGTAGCTCTTGAGTTACCAATAATAACTCCATCAGGATTAAGCATTGGTATAATCTTGAAAACAAATCTTTTTCTAAGCTACTCAGCTACTTTTGATCTAGAAATCAGAAAACTAATTAAGCCATGGACAATCCATGATGATGCAGTTTCTCCTGGATGAATTCTTGATTAAATGAAAATGATTTTCTTTGTTTTTTGCCAGTTTTAATCTTCGAAGTTAGTGATTGTCAGAAGTGGCACTTCAACTCCACTAAGTGTTTTGCATAATACTGAATCTTATATAACCTTACCTCTTTTTCTAAAAGGCTTCATGTTTCCCAAATTTTAATTCCATTCTCTTTCTTTGACTCTCTCTATATTGAGCCAGGCTTTTTATTCTTAAATAATAGATTTTATGTATTGCACACACATAGAGTAGGAATATGGGATTGTGTAAGCAAACCAAACTTTATCATTTTCATGATCAAATTTGAAGTCAAAAGATAAAGTATAATATTTTCTTTGTCTATAACCCTAATTCTACTTCAACCCTGGAGTTCTTTAGTATCTTATATTAGTACCTCCTCTTTCCCAGCCACAAAAATTAGGGGAATTTCTTTTTTAAGACCAGTAATTTATTAACATCCCATGATTGAAAAGAGCATCTTTCTTGCTCATGTTAACAATGTTAAAAGTGACAGTTTTATATTTCTTAGTCTTGCTAACTTCAAAGTGAAACCAATTTGTATGCCCTCTCGTATTCGTATCTACTCTTAAAAATAGATCGTAAGTATCATCAGCTGTTTTAACCACCATATCTAAATTTCCATTTTCAAAATTAGAGTTGAAGTTTAATTCGTTTCTATCGACATCTGGGCTCATTCCTTGAAATTCTCTCATTTCATCTTTTCTTGGTGCTTCTCCATCCATCATATCCTCAAACACACTATCATAAAAAGCCTTTGCACTTGCCAGACCATAGAATTTAGGAAAACCAAATTCATAAGTATTATCAGCTGGTTTAACAAAATTTTTATGCATCTCAAAAGAGTCTTTGAATCTAGGTCCATAATATATAATTTTGAAGTTGTTCACCTTTCCCCCTGTATTTTAGTAATAAGCTTGCTCTTCATAAAAATTTTAATGAGGGTTTTCTATAAAATTGAAGTAGAGGGGAATAGGTGCAGATTCAAACTTAACCTCAGGTTTCCAACTATTAAAGATAAAATAAGAATTCTAAAAAATACCCAAATTTCATATCTGGCCCCAAAGAGTGAGTTCCCTCTAAAATTGGAAGGGGAATTATAGGATAGTTTGTTTGATCCCCTGGCTTTTCCTCTGATTTTTCTTAATCGATGTCTTCGAAAAACTCATGGAACAGTGGTGCTTATTTATTTTAACTTTTCATTTTTCTTAAATATGGAGTTAAATTTAGATTTTGACATAAATTTTCACTTTACTTTTTTAAACTATTCAGTCTTTGTGGTTTTGGGGTTTTGGGGTTTTGGGGTT